GGGGGGGGGGGGTAGAGGACCTTATTCATACTCTAGTTACCACAACGTATCAGTCAACAATTAAAGAAAACTAAGGCATGCTTGGGAACGTTAAAGCATGTCATTACAGAAAAACCGCAGAAATCTCATGTTAGAAGATGGCATCTCCTCAAGTAATGAGTAAATGGGTGGATATTGGTCACTGTGACACCATATGCAACTGCACTCTAGCAAAAGAAATTCATCCAATCGCATTACTATTTCTGGGCACTATTTCTGTGAGCTCCCTGCCCCATGCAAACAAGACCAAAAACAATCATATCATTTTACATAGGAAGATTCTGACAATAAGCTGATCCATAATTTTTTCTTTTTCTGACACAACAAATAAAGAATAAATCAGAAGGAGAGGAGACGGGAGAAGGCAATCATAATGCAGAGTTGCAGACACATTCATGGATGACGAAAAAAATAACCTATTTTTTGACTGATCACCGTGATATAAATTCCCTGTCTTTTTTGTGGGTGGGAGAGAAAAGAAATTGTGATTTCAGAGGAAACCAGGCTCTTGACAAATAAAAAGGCAGATTGGTTGCTCTTATGCATCATTCATGTTGTCGTCCCTCCCCCTTCCATGAATATATTTTTTATTACATAATGAGGAATGTTTAGAAAATAAATATTTAATGCAACAGTAACAAGTAAACTGATATAACATGATTACAGCACTCGGATCTACAAAAAGCATGAAATGCTTAGAGATTTCAGTTGAAATGAGTTTCTATTGTCAAGGAAACACACCGACATCCAAAGAAGCCTCTGTTTGCAGACAAACCAGAAGGGTGTGCTGATTTGAGAACATGGTGCCTTGTTTCATCAACTAACCTGAAAAAGGTTTGAAAACGATTAATTAGGAGGGAAAAGGAATGGTTCGTGACTTCCCACTTGAACCTCATCAGCAGAATTTCCAATCAACTTCAAGAAAGTAGAAACGAACAGCCCAATTCCATTCCAGTGCTTCTAAATTTAAATTTGAGCTTTTGATAGAAACTAAAAAACATTTTGAGAAATCATCATTAGACATCCAAATCAATTACCTGAATCATAAACTAAAACCTTTTCAGAATAAAAATGGAAAATCAATGCCTAACATCTAAAGTTGTACCAGGGATAACTCAACGGGGTGTCACCTCAACTAGCTGCAGGTAATCTGCAGCATGTTATTTCTAAGACAAGGAAAGGAAAAATCAGAAAGAATTATACGGAGTGAAATAGGTCTACTAATCCGGTGTTGATGGTGTAACCGTTTCTCTTAAAAAAGAAAAAACATAACATAACAAAATTGTTCCAACTCAAGAAGAATAAGAACTACAACAATAAGCCCAGTGTAATCCACAAGTGGGGTTCGGGGGATAAGAATGACCAGCTATTTTCTCTGAAATTTCGAGCAGGTTAGAAGAAACTATACGAGTGCAATGTTTTTCTCTTCAAAAAGTATGACCTGAACAAAAAGAGCACCAGTTCGGATGATATTCTGGTGCACCTTCTCTATAGAGTTCCTTATGCACCCTTCAATAAGAGCACTGATTTGGATGATGGCATTCTACGTTTAATCTAAAACTGCGAATTTGAGTAAGACTGGTGAGAAAAAGAATATTCAGTGAAATATTCAAGATGCCATCACTTTAGGGATATATAACAAGTTTGACACAAGGTGCAACCACTCTGATGATACTGAAGAATTAACGGAAAACTTATAAACAAAATCCTTGGCAGTGGGTAATTTTAAGATTTGGAGATCTAAGCTTGAGTGAAGATTTCAGTCATAAAACTTCTGAAAGCAAATGATAAATACATGCTCTACTTCTACTCCTCTTCAAGGTCCACCAGTTAAGAATCAATGCACATATAATTTAGTTAAATTAGATGCTAATAGTTAAATCAAATGGCTCTCCACAAGTACCAGCAAGAAGCTGAAGATGGAAGCAAAGCAAAGAGATTTATTCACAGGAAATTCTAAAATTTTACCTGAAGTCCGCTATTGGACATTCAAAAATGTTTACAGATCATTTCCCTATCCTTATACTGAACACACTGAACATCTAAAGTTGCAGATATAGTTCTCCATCAAAGGCTAAGATTACAAGTGATGCCCATAAAACAACTAAGACGTCTTGAGACTAACTATTATAAAGTAGGGATTTTTGATCAGATTTTTAACATGCTTAATAGAGTATTAGCATGCTTGTGATGAACTACCTGGCTTTTGCTTGGGCATAGTTTCCCCACAGAATGAAAACAACTCCTTCTTTCTTCTGAGAAATTGTTTTGATGACAGCATCTGTAAATTGCTCCCAGCCTTTATTTGCATGAGAATTTGCCTGGTGATGCCTAACTGAAAGTATATCAGGAAAAAGAAAAGGCTTAAAATGCTAGTGATTAGTAGAAGACAAGAGTATCACTACAACTCTTCACTTAAAAAGAAAAGCAAATAACATTATAAAGCATTCATCCAGCAAACTCTGGTGTAAGTGATTTGTCCATATAATGTCAAGCATCTGTATACATGTACAAATAGAAACCTATCTCATTACTAGTGATTTTGAAAGCGCAAAAAGGCGACAAGGCCTTGCTTCGCTTAAAGCGTGAAGTGAAGCGCGCTTCATTGAATTGAAGCGCAATTTTTAAAAAAAGACCAAAATAAACCTCGCAAAGAGACAATATAAATAAGCAAATGTTCAACTAAAAAACGACAAAGTAGATTGAGCAAAATCCTCCGTAGGACAAGCAAAATCAAAACTAAAAGACAAATGGATCAAAATATAATTCTACAAGATTGTCAAAATCTCTAATTCCATCACCATCATTGTATTGCTCCTCAGCTTCATCAACTAGGGGATAGACTTGTAGATACTTCGTTTTCCCTCCTATGTAAGCTTGAAATACTCCACCTTAAACCATAATGTTCTCCTCAACTCCACTTACCACTGCAACATCACCCCAAGTGAAATTAGAATCTCCAACAAATACTTCTTCATGATTTTTTGAGACTCCAAGTAGTCATTCATTAGCCTCATCAATATTGTCCAAACAAATTGGATCAATTACATAGTGAGCGTCGTACACATGCCTCAATTTTCTATTGTGTTTAATGAACACTAGATCATTGAGACACTTTAGGGTTAGTCTAGTACTAGTTAACTCAATTATCTTATGTTGCCCATTTTCATTAGCGACCAACTACAATTACAATTATAGAATCCCTTTCACACTTCTGCATCTAGTAAATCCTTCTCACATCATAAAAGAGTTCCGGCTTCAACATATATCCAACTGCATGCAAAGGTCGATGAAGTTGATCTGACCACCTTTTATCGATGGTCTCAAAGACTTTTTTATATCTTTTTTCATCATTAAATGATGCTAGAATAGCCTCCTTAGCCCTATAGATAGCTTCATAAAGGCAGTCAATTGGTGGTTTTTGCTCCCCATCCACCAAACGAAGTACTTTAATCAAAAGAACATCGATTTTCAAAGCATGAACATTATCCCAAAAGGTAGGAGAAACAATAATGTTTGTAGTTTCTTTCCAGATTTACTAGTGGTGTATTCTTATGAAGTGAACAACCTTCTCAAATTGTTCCTTTGCAAGTGCATCCTATGCAAGGTCAAGAAAGCAGTAGCAAATCTTATCTTGGCAGGTATCACGAAACTTCTTTGTTGTGTGAATCTCCTCATCATATTCAATAATAAAAGTTTACTAACTTCAGAATGCACTTTAACTGCCTAAGCAAAAATTGTAGTGAAGGTTCGATCTTTGAAAATGTCACCGAACATCAAATTTATACAATGCGCTGCACATGGAGTCCATACTTGTTCCATTCTATTTTATGATCCTCCACAATATTTTTGTCCCTTCCACCTCTTTAATTAGATAAGGACCTCTAATTTCATCAATATATTCTCCAAAAGGAAGTTTGTTTCTTGAATCCATTTATGCTAGCGACTCTTCTACTAATTCCATCAAAATATTCTCCTTGTTTGGGAATACTATGACAACAATGAAAAGGATTTACTAAATGCAGAAGTGTGAAAGGGACTCTTTTATGACAACAATGAAAAGGATTTACTAAATGCAGAAGTGTGAAAGTGATTATACGACTTGTTGGTAAGTTGGTCTTGATGAATATGAGCAACATAAGATAACGGAGTTAGTATTTACAAGAATGCTGAGGGACTTTTTGGATATCTAATGGTTGTTAGACAAAGAAAGAAGAGGTCACCAAGTGAGTGAGTGCTTCTATGTTTCTTTATAGCTTTAAATTTTAAGTTATTTCTTTATATTTATTAACTTTTGAATATTTGTTCTACTTCAACATTTGAACTATGAAAGCAATATGGTTCTTCCAAAGTTTGTTGTCAAAGTTTTAGGTCTAACTTGTAGCTCATCTGGATGTGAAAGGAATTAGAGCATGTTTGAATATGTACGAAGAACGATTTAGTATATTGAATAACTAAATTGTATCTCAATTGTCCTAACTTTTACTAATTATTTGCCAAAACTCATTCATAGATTCATACTACGAAGAGAGCTAGACTAACCCTAAAACATCTCATAATTTAGTGTTCGCTAAATACAATAGAATATTGAGGCGTTGTCACGACGCTTGCAATGAATTGATCCAATTTGTTTGGACAATACTGATAAGAATAATGAAGAGCTAACTGAAGTCTCTGAAAATCATGAATAAGTATTTGAAGGAGATTTTAACTTCACTTGGGGCGATGTTGCAAAGGCAAGCGAAGTTGAAGAGAACATTTATGGTTTAAGGGAAGTACTTCAAGCTTACATAGGAGGAGAAAAAAAGTAGCTACAAGTCTATCCCTAGTTGATGAAAATGAAGATGAAAACGAAGCAGATGATGAGCAATATAATGATGGTATGGACTTAGAGATTTTGACAATCTTGTAAAAAAAAAAAAATAGGATGTTAATCCATTTTATACTTTTTAATTTTTTTGCCCTTTGTAGGAATTTGTGTTGTCTATTATTTAGTTTTTAAATTAAACATTTGCTTACATATATCGTCTTTGTGCAAGGTTTATTTTGTTCTTTTTTCTTTAATATTGTGGAGCGCTTCATTTCACGCTTCACGCTTTAAGCGAAGCGGGGCCCTGCTGCTTTTTATTCTCTTGCTTGTGGCATGTCTTGGCATAATATTGATAGTTGGTCGTTGAAGGCATACGGCAGGCTTTGTTTGTGGCATGCACATGGGCGGCCACTAATAAGTGGGCCGAAGGCATAAGAGTGCTTGTAAGTTAGTGCAGCTAAGACCAATGCGCCCCATAGTACAAGGAGTTGAAAGACTTCCAACAGTATTATGGAGCACCGTCAACGCATCATGGGACAAGATAGAAAGCAATTCATGACAATATAATGCAAATTCTTTATTATAGATTTCACGTCTGTAAATCTTTATGTTTCAGTCATGTGCATGCAATCTAAAAAGAAGGAAATAAAATTGAGCATAAATAAAGCCTGAAATATGACAGATAGTCTAACAATACGATTACAAAATACAGCGAATTTGATACAGTAGGCACAGATGTTTCATGTTTCAACCTAGTACAAACATCTAAATTTATCTTGAAAGTAATTCTGAATCACTCTTCTACCTACTTTACGATGACTTTCTCATTTTTTTCCCAAATCAAATTCTCAGATCTTATAATCACCCCTAACTGATCTATGTAGAGAGAAAGAGATGGAGAGAAATATAGAGATACTACTTTAGTTAATCTTTTTTTTACTTCATTTGAAATTAATCTTCTCAAGTACATTTGTGGGAATAGCCATATAATATAGTCTCAAAAAGCAATGAGAAGAAAAGAATCCAAAAAGAATGTGTGCAGACCAATATATAAAACCATTGAAGAGGTGGAAGTTTTACCTGTAAGAACAGCATTAAGAAGCAGAACACCCTATAAAGCAACATGGTGTATGTCAGAGAATTACTTAAAGGAAGAAAAATATAGGAAGGCTATAAAAGTGCGGAGACATCAGTTTTTTTATTTTTTGGGGCATAAAAGGCTATGAAAGTGGTTTATAAAGTTATTGCTGCTGATATGAATAACAGGCAGGAAGCATCAGTTTCATTTTAAAGAAATTTAATAATGAATCATGAACAACTCAAATTTCCTGCTTAAACTAAGTATTAATCTAGGCCAAGTATGCTCTAATAGAAACCTTGTTACCTTAACAAGAAGCAAGCATGCTTTCAAGTATGCAAGTTAGCCGGAACATCTCTGCCTAATACCAAAGCTACGGGGGAGTGGTGTAAGTTGAGAATTTCTATGATATACGGCTTTGTGTGACAGTTTAGCACTGAATATGACACCAGTCTTTGCAAACCCAGGGTGTACCATGTACTGTATTGTCTTAGTTTACCAAAACTCACAAGTTTCAAATTTTAAACTACTTATCAAATTGTTATGTCATTTCTATCAAATAAGCTTACATAAATATCAACTTAGAGATAAGATCCACCACTATTGCACTATCATGTAAAGAAACTACAGTATCACCATGTACTCGATCGTTGGCCCCAACTCTTAAAAAATGATGAGGTCTTGATACAGAACAAATCAAGGATCTTTGATTAGTTTATCTTGAAATTTAAAGTTGCAGTAAACAAAACAGAGTAAATATCATGCTGTCACATTTTTGCTTAAATATCAACGATAAATTTTAGTGAGTTAAAGTAAAAGAGATCGGAAGTGGATAGTGGTAGAATTATGACCATGCTTCATAAACTATCACCGGCCTCTACCTCTACCTCTACCTCTACACACTACCCTCCCCAGACCCCACTGTGGGATTACAATAGGTATGTCGGTGTTGCTTCAAATATCATGCCATGTATAAAATATGCCAAAGGACTGATTGTGAAAATTGTCAAGTTAACAACCAGTGTTTTAAAAGGCGTGGGCATAAGGCGAGGCAATCTACATATGCCTCAACGAGGTCGTAAGCCTCGAGGCACGGGGCGTAAGCCCCATGGATATTTAATATTTAATATTTTATAAAATAATATAATTTCAAAAAATATTTTTAAATAGGTAAAATTGTATAAAAATTGAAGAAAGCAATAAATAAGTGAAAAATATATATAGATGTGCTTCATCCCCACAAAAAAATAGTCAAAATAATCCATTATATTCTACTTACAAGCACAAGTAATTTGAGTTGAAAAGAATAAAGTTTTCTACATGGAGGAACAAAAAGGATGACCAACCTGCAACTTGAACTTTGAACTTGTTGCTATAGAGGAGAACGGAATTTTCTTTGTATTTGCAAAAAAAAATGATTATTTGTTGCTTTTGGGAGATAGCAGCAGACTAGCGGACAAGATAAAGAGTTGGGAAAAATCATAAATTAGGGCTTTTAGCAATAAATAAAAAAAGGTCTTGACTTTTAAATTTAATGTTTCAGTTCCTTTTTAAAACTTTTGAGTAATTACAAGCTGACTTTTGAGAATTACGGTATTATATTAAAAACTTATTAAGCAAATTTTATATTAATTTGAAAAAGTCTCTTGGGCTTACTCCTCACTGCAAAAACGCACCTCAACGCCGGTGCGTACGCCCCAAATTGTTGGGCGTACGGCTTTTGAGACTTTCGCCCCCACAATCACCTATTTTTGGTTCACCTCGCCCCGAAAATGCCTTTTAAGACACTGGTAACAACTCGTAGCTTTTGACTGAACAAACCGATAAGTAAAGCACAGTAGAAAAAACAAATTAATATGATACTCATAAAGTAGATGAAAAGTTCCAGCAAGAAGTTCAGAAGCACCTGTAAAGCCCATTGTTCCAGATTTCCATGGAGTGGTATTGAACAACCCAAATCTTGCTTAAGTTCTTTATATATGTTCACCAGACTCGAAGGGACTTTCACAACTCTAGGCACCGAGAAAGAGAGGCCCATTGCCTGACCTGGCCCATGATACGGATCCTGAAATCACATTGAAAAAGGATCATGCTGCTATAAGTTAGAAAAATGCTTCTAGAAGGCAAAAATATCTCCAAATATCAGTGTAGCTTCATTACCGAATTCTTGAAGATGAAAACCAAATAGCTAATGGAGATTTGTAAAGAGAACCAAAGCAACTTTTGTATTTTATTTTTAGTTAAGAGAACTTTGGTGTTTTAAATGATCAAATGCATTAAATAGAGGAACTTAATAACATCTTGATATTTCAGATGGTTGCATTTCAAAAACTAAAAACCAATTATCATGTGTGCATTGTGCTGTGTGATAGTTTACTGTCTCTTTTTGGGTAAGGTTGTAAAGTTGCATTCAATTCAAACCAATGTGTATACAGGTTGTCATTCCTTGAGAACATACTATTAGTAACATGTGAATGCTACCTTCAAACTAGAAACTCTACCTGTCCTATGATGACAGCCTTTACCCTGTCAAATGAAGTAGTATTAAGAGCATTAAAAATCAGATGCTGTGGGGGGTAAATTGGGACACCACCACTAATTTCCTTTTCAAGAAATCTGCACAAGTTCTTTGCATAGGGCTTCTGAAATTCCCCTGGCAGTGCTTCCAACCATGTCTCCTCAACCAACAGTTCCTCTAACTTCACATATCCTATGCCATCACCTAACAATTGGTACACAACAGATGCCTTTTCAGTGCCTAGCAAGGAATAGGCAGTTTAACCAATGGATATGAAACAGAAAACAGAGCGACATCTTAAAATAAAGAGTGAATATAACAAATTGGTCTGCGAGTAGCTATCTTACTTTTGATACTGAAGGCCTACTTTGCTCTTTCACAAGAAAAATCAAATATTAAGTATAAGTAGAAAATGTTCAATTTGTACATTTATCTCACGAGTAGTTAACAAATACTGCAGAAAAAATATGTTTTCTTTTGTCAAGCTACAGCACAAGAGCCTAAACTATCTCGTGGCTTGGTTTGCTGTCGTAATTTTGAAATTCATCCAATTCAATGATGTGTTTTTCTAACTGCTAACAACATGAACATCTAAACATTAAAGAAAAAAGAACATGTACCACAAATATATGTCCAAACATCAAAAACTTTATAATCAGCTACTCTTTTGCACTCAATTTGCTTGCCCACTTCAATATTTATAACCAGAATAGGCAGCGTGAAAATATAATCTATTCAATATTTCTTGAGAAAGATGTCAGATTCTTATTTGAAAATTGTTTTTCTAGAGGAGTAAAATAGAGGATGAAGTTAAAATGTGGTCGTTCAAACCTTTTGTGGCATTGAAAATGCATCACAATCTACCAACTAACTGGAAAAACAACACAAAATAGAAAGTGAAACAAGCTTTTTCAAGTGAAAATAAGGACCAAGTTAGTAAATACACAATCTCAATGGAACCAAATATAATTTTTCAAGAAAAGTGAAAGGAGCAATATTTAACAGACCATTTGCGTTTAACTTGGAGACTTTATCAGAGCATAGTTTGAGGTTCATTTTGGCCTTTGCAAGCGATTTATTGAACTCCATTCTCGACTTTTGCTCGGACGTTAGCATTGTATCTTTGGGGTCTTTGTTGCCGCCGTCTTCACCCGACAATGAAGATGAGAATGAGTTGTCAGCGGAAGATGGCAAGGAGACCCGTTTTAACCGCTTTGCTGCAGGTTGCTTGAATAGATCCATTAGGGTTTTGGAAGAGGAAGACGCCATTTTTGTTTGGGTTTCTCTTCAGAAGGAGCGAGTAGTGGTGCGAAGAAGAAATGGCGCCTAAAATCACCCTAGGGAGACTATTCTCTGGATTGGAAAAAAATACTAATATTTAAAATAAATGGATTTTTAGGTTTTTTTAAATAAATAAAATCATAGGGATTTATATAAATCTATAGCCGTATTTTTTTAATTTTATTAAAGTATACTGGAAAAAATATCGAACCGTACCGAATAAATTTATATGTGTAAAGTATATTTATATATTAAGTTTAAAAATAATAAAACATTAAATTTTCCCTTCGGCTTTAGAATTATAAAAAATGGTTACAAGCCAACAAGTAATTAAAATCAAAATCCTAATTCTCAAACCTATTATGCTATTTATACTGAAAAAAAAATTATTTCCGTTAACAAGACACAGAGTATTCTAACAATTATAAGTAGCAAACATATTTCCTTTTGTACGATTAGATTTATCTTTTTGAATATTTAATCTTCTATAGACTTTATTCTTGAGTCACAGCTTGGTTAATATAATTCTACTCGTGGGATTTATCTTTTCTTTGTCTTTGTTTAGTTTCTTTTATGTTGTTGTAGAGTAGTTGATGGAACTATTCTCTAGTCATCTTTCATGTTTTCTTAATTCATTACTATTTAAACAGTAAAACTGTTTAGAGAGTTTTGCTAAGTCCTAAAAAAGTATATTTATTATTGCATTAAACTTTTACTGGTGAATTTTACATGACATTTAAAGAAACACTGTAAATTAACGGAACCGTACCGATACCGAAAAGAAAACGATATGATTGGGATAATTTCGAAAAGCCTAATTTTGATAATAGATAATAGAATAATCAAAAAATTGGTATGGTACAAATTTTATAAAATAATCGGTTGAACCGAACCATTAACACCCTCAACTCTGGCGGGAACAGAACCCGAGGACAACTCATTTCCCATTTAGAATTTTTTTACCTATAGCTAAATATTACCATTATTAGTAAGGTTTTCATTTAATTACCTAACAAACACATATTTATCAATTATATACAAAATAACATATTAGATTCCAATCTTCTTTCATGTTCTCTCTTTCTTCCACTCACACTACATTTCATATGCGTGGACTCTTTAACTTTAAGAATCATCTAATTTTAAAGTACGGACCGAAATTTCAAGTAAAAATATCTGTCATAATAGGTTTACTTCCAAAAGATAACAATACTAATTGTCCAAGATGCTGAACTAGGTGTGCTCCAGAAGTTGGGGTGTTGTTGACAAAAGTTCAAGCGAATGAAATCGACAGGGAATCCAAGTTGTCAATTAGTTAACAACTTACGATTGCTAACGCAAAGAGAGATATACACACCTTAACTATATGTAAACTTCATTAAGAACTTCCTTGACAATCATTAAAAAGTTTTCAAGATTTGAATTTAAAAATCTAATTTTACGAAATTATTATTTCTTCAGATTGGGGATTGTTGCAAATGATTAAGAATATCCTTGGAAGTTTATATCTCAATTTTGCGGGAGTTCGATGAAAATTTGAATTAGTTTTATTTGGAATTTCAGAATGTAACCCGAGGGGCTATATCTATATGAGTGATACTTTGCCCGAGGGGCTTGTTTATGAAATTACCGTTTTCACTCTTCTTTTATACTGAGCCTCTATTAAAAAATATTGAACAACTGTTTTAAATAATTTTCATTAAAACTGGAGTTTCGACGAGATGTTCAGAATTTGAACTACGGATTTGACTTTGATGTTTCTATTGAGATTCTATGTTAGATTATGTATATTATTAAAATGCTTGTCACTGCCCTCAGCCTTTATTTACTTTGGTTACTTACTGAGTTGGCGCACTCACGTTACTCCCTGCACCTTGTTTGCAGATCCAGGTGCCAGAGCATCAGAGTGTGAGCTTTCAGCAGCTTCTGAGTATTTTCGGAGATAGCAAGGTAGTTGCACGGCGTTCCCAGCCCTGCCTTTCTCCTTCCTATCCTTAGTGTTATTTATTTCAGTCTTTTTCTTGTATTGAATAGACAATACTGGACAATATCTTAGTGGCTCATGACTAGTGACACCAGGATCGGGCATTGTGGATGTATTTGCGTATTTGTTTTTCCGCGCATTTTGTTATATTAAAATGAAAGACTTGTGATCATAACTGGTTTGAAAATGAATTTACAAAATGACCTTTATGTTTTTAGTGTTGAATCGGCTTGCCTAGTACTGTGATAGGCGCCATCACGGCCGGGGTGGTTTGGGATCGTGACAAAAAAGTTTTACAATAATATATTTTGACCGGATTTATATATATATATATATATATATATATATATATATATATATATATTGTAAGAAAACACTAGTTATTTTTTGTAAATAAGAAAACCCAGCTAAAGCGTGTAAGTATTGTCCTAATTTTACATGTATATGAAAAGATTTCTTTCATTTATTCCCGCCTAGTATGTTATATTATATTAAAATTAAAAGTTTATTAAATGTTTTTATTATATTATTTATTAAAATAAACTATTAAATAAATAATGTCATGAAAAAATAAAGTACTTTTTTTTATAATTATTGACATCGGGCTAACGGCTCGATCGAGTTGTCCATAAGTTAACCCAAAATAATACAGTATAGACCGAGCAATCTCCCTTCGCGCCGTTGGGACCAATACCGAAATTTGTACAAGAAGTGCAGAAGCGTAGTATGAGTACAACCGACCCTTGTACTCTGTAAGTGCCGACCTAAACTCGACAAAGTAGTGACGAGGCTATGACAAGACACTCACTATAAACATGTACGAATATAAGCCAAAAAACAATAACGAAGTAAAGAGATAGACGATTGTCATGAAAACCGAAATAAGAATAAATGATAGAGGGCCCCTTTATAATATTATTGCTCAGTCTCACAACACAACATGGTAACGGTAACGAATAGCCAAGAATAAACTCAATACAATCTCTCTGTTGCGGCGCACAACCCGATCCACATATACAATATACTGTTACAGCGTGCAACCGATATATATATATATATATATATATAAAATACTGTTGCGGCGTGCAAGCCGATCCACATATATAATATAATACTATTACCAACCATGGAGTATCTCCCAACGTAACACAAAAAGGAACTAAAACATATAAATCCTCTATGACAATCCAATATAACATAATAAAATGAAATAGAAAGCAAGTAAGGCGAATAAACAAGTAAAGGCACAGGCTAAATAAAAACATCTATCTAATAAAACGTTAGAGCAGAGGACAAGTAAGGCGGACAATAAATAAGGCATGAATACATGAAGACATGTAGCAAATAAAGGCATGTATTTAACAAGTAAAGACATATAGCAATTAAAGCATGTAACAAGTAATAACATGGAATAAATGAAGGCATGATATAATTGAAGACATGCAATTAGGTAGTCCACCCCGAATGCTTGAACCCACGATAATGCATATACACGCGTCACCTTGCACTCATACATAAATCAAGTAGCAAATAGATCAATCAAGTCCTATTTCCCTCAAGTCAAGGTTAACGACGACACTTACCTTTTTTCGGAAATAAGTCAACAATCCAACACGGCTTTTCCTTTGGAATAAGCCTCCAAATCAATCAGATATTGTTCAAACATATCAAAACAAGCTTTAGAAACAACCCCGTATGATAAAGGTTCAATTTTTAACATAATTTAAAAAGTTAACAAAAGGCAACCTTGGCCCACGTGGTCGATATCCAATATTAGGACCAAATTCCAATTACCCATTCACCTCCGAGCCCGGATATATGATTTGTTTCGAAATCCGACCTCAATTCGAGGTCTAAATCTCAATTTTATAAAATTCATAAATCCTACCCAAAAATCCTGATTTCTACTCTGAAATTCATAGATTTGATGATAAAATCCATGTTAAAGTAATTAAAATTAATTGAAAATAAGTTAAAGTTGCTTAGCAATGAATTTGAAGACATGCAATTAAGTAGTCCACGCTGCATGCTTGAACCCACGACAATGCATATACACTCGTCACCTTGTATATACGCCATCCCCACACATAAATCAAGTAGCAAATAAACCAATCAAGTCCTATTTTCCTCAAGTCAAGGTTAACCACATCACTTACCTCTTTCTGAAAATAAGTCAACAATCCAACACAGTTTCCTTTGGAATAAGCCTCCAAATCAATCAGATATTGTTCAAACACATCAAAACAAGCTTTAGAAACTACCTCGTACGACAAAGGTTCAATTTTTAACATAACTGAAAAGGTTAACAAAAGGTCAACCTAGGCCCGCGTGGTCGAAATCCAGGATTAGGACCAAATTCTGATTACCCATTCACCCCCGAGCCCGGATATATGATTTATTTCGAAATTCGACCTCAATTCGAGGTCTAAATATCAATTTTATACAATCCCTAAATTCTACCCAAAAACCCCAATTTCTACTTTGAAATTCATAGATTTGATGATAAAATTCATGATAATGTAATTAAAATTAATTGAGAATAAGTTAAAGTTTCTTACCAACGAATTTTGGAAGAATTTGCTCTTCAAAAGTCGTCTCTATGGAGTTTAGAGTTCAAAAATGATATAAAATATGCTAAGTCTCGAAATTCCCAACCTTTACCCAGCTGCATATGTCACAATTGTATACTCTTATTTTCTATTGTGACCATCGCAAAAGTGAATCACCTATCGCATATGCGATCAATGTCATAGATACATAGTTGTTGCAAATGCGACATTTCCTTCGTATTTGCGAAGGTCCTCCAGATTGTAAATGAGGAACCCTCTTCGCAAAAAGCGAAGCAACACCCAGCATGCCAGTATCGCAAATGTGACCCCCATCTAGTTCACAAATGTGACAAACTCGTCGCAAGAGATAAGACCCAGCCCCTAGTTCCCCCTTCGCATTTGCGATTGCAAATGCGAGACCTGCAGATCAAAGCCACCAACCAAATTCTCAGCAGTTCATAACTTAGCCAAAACACATTTGAAACTCACCCGAGCCTCTCAGGCTCCAATTCGAGCATCCACATAATAATAATATCATACAAACCCGCTCGCTATCTT